TTTTTTTTTTTTTTTTTTTTTTTTTTTTTTTTTTTTTTTTTTTTTTTTTTTGATGGGTCTGAGTAGAGATAATTATGGGAAGGGAAGAGGGAGAGAGGTGGGGAAAGATTTTTTTTTTTTTAATTTTAATTTTAATTAATTATTATTATATTTTAAATATTTTTTTTTATAAATTTTTTTTATTTATTTGTTTATTTATTTTTGGGCTATTACAAAATTATTAAGAAATGACGTGGGACTGAGTGTGATTGAGAATCCAAGCTCTTCCCCATCTTCAATGCCACCAAGTATGCATTGTTTATCCTACCCAACAACATCCATCATCCAACAAGAAGACGTATGGCTTCTTGAATATCAAAGGACAATACCTCTTTGTTAAGAATCATAATACTTTGTGGACTTCGAAACATCACTGGTAAAGGCCTCAATTTTGTAAGAACTGTTTATTAAGAATCATGGATCTCTACAATGGTATGATATTGTCTACTCATAGCTTTGCTTTGAGATTCTCCCAAAGATCGTACCAATGGTGATATATTTCTTACTTATAAACTCATGATTATTCCCAAAATTAGTCCAATGTGACTCTCTCCCAACAATCCTCCCCTCAAACAGTCCAATGTGACTCTCTCCCAACAATCCTCCCCTCAAACAAAGTGCACTATAGAGCCTCCTTTAAGGTTTATAAGTCCCCCAAACCCCTTAATCGAGGTTCGACTCCTTCTCTGCCATCCACAATTGACATAACTAAGTTAAGGGCATGACTCTAATATCATGTTATGAATCATGAATCTCCACAACAGTATGATATTGTCCACTTTGAGCATAAGCTCTCATGGCTTTGCTTTGTGTTTCCCAAAAGCCCTCGTACCCATGAAAATGTATTTCTTACTTAAAAACCCATGATTATTCCCAAAATTAGTCCAATGTGGGACTCCCTCCTAGCAATCCTCTCCTCGAACAAAGGACACTATAGAGCCTCTCCTAAGGCTTATGGAACCCTCAAATAGTCTCCCTTTAATCGACGCTCGACTCCTTCTCTGCAATCCACAATTGACATAAGTAAGTTAAGGGCATGACTCTGATATCATGTTAAGAACCACCAATCTCCACAATAGTATGATATTTTCCACTTTGAGCCTAAGCTCTCATGGTTTTGCTTTAGGCTTCCCCAAAACGCCTCATATCAATGGAGATGTATTTCTTACCTATAAACCCATGATCATTTCCTAAATTAGCCAACGTGGAACTCCCTCCCAACCATCCTCATGCATTTGACCTTTTTTTCTCTTTCAAGTTAAGTACTATTACCTTTCTCGCTATTTGTAAACATGTTTACCATGTATTTGAACTATTGTGAATCAATTGAGACAAAGGTTGCAAAGTCTATGGTTCCTACATCCACTTGATTCTCTAGACTTGATAGCATTATTAGACAAGATAACGTCGGCGAGTTCTGGTTAGAAGTACCTATTACACAATTTAGTGAGTAGAAGTTTCAAGAAACAACATTCAAAATTGGTACTATGGGTCAAGAAATAGCAAGAAATGGGTATATACTTACAACAATTGTAAAATTCAAGGATTGCGCTAGGTGGGTATTGTTCATAAATAGCGAAGCACATTGAAGAATATTCTATGCCATGTCTGAGATGATCGCAGAATTGCTTCAATGGAACTCCCTAATTGAAACGTTGTGAACTAAGTGAAGGTAAGTAAAAGAAGAAGAATTCAGGGTTAATGCGTAGTGCTACGTATATATGATGGGATGTGTTGGAAAATGTTATTGAGAATGATTTCTTGGTTCAATCAAAGTTGGCTGTTTCACCAATGTGAGTGAGTAGAGAACTTGATCCCAAAAAATGATGGATGAGTTGTAGGCTGAAGAGAAACATGGTTAATTCTTTCTGGAGTTTTGAAGAACATTGTTATGATTTGTGGGTTGTTTTATACTTGTATGTGGGACTAGTTTAGGGCAACAAGATTGCTTTTACTTCAATTAAGTACTTGTAGGCTATGCTTTTTTTATCTTATAATAGTTCTGATTCATCGTACTAGTAATCATTGTCGTTGTTATTAGAGTGTGAGATCTCACATCGGTTGGAGAGGGAAATGAGCATTCTTTATAAGGATGTGGAAACTTTTCTCTAGCAGACGCGTTCTTAGAACCATGCAGTTGATGACAATATGTAACGGATCAAAGCTGTCATAACTTAATTTAAGACTCGAAATCAAGGGTTGAACTAACTGACTATGCAATGAAAACGTGTAAAAAAAAAATAGACAAGAAGAAATTACGGAAAACTTTTTGCAATCAGAAATGAGAATTACAATCAAAACAAAATATCCAAGTAGCATGATTATGGGGTGCAAAATGTATGACATATCTATGCATGAAACACATACAGAACTCCTAGACGCCCCAGGACACTCATATGTGGCTTTAAGACTCCTGCATGCGCCCCAGCCTCGATCCATAGCATCACTCACCTGAAAAAGAAGAGTAGAAAGGGATGAGTATAAAAATACTCGGTAACCAACCTACTTGTAGGCTTTTTCGAATCCTTATCTTAGTAGGTATCCATGGCCTTGGGGTTCTAGGGAGTGCGAACTAAGCTGCACTCACTTTTCTACAACTTAGGAGGCTTGACCATCTTATGCGATGGATCAACAGTGTCTTGGAATGAGGCACGACCTCACAAATAAAACTGAGGGGGCAATATGATTGGATCTGAATCAATATCGCTCTCCAAACATCATTTGTGGAGGTATGTTGACAACCCTCCCACGAGACCATACTTCCATTAAAATTGGGGGGTTGCGATCCCCTGTGTCCTGGTCAGCTACTAAGTCATCTTATGTGGTTCCACTCTGGTTTCTATGGCTCAGAGGTCCTGTTCAGGAGACCCCTTAGTTATAACCACTAGGTCGTGACACAAATCATACTACCCTGTCTGGCTCTGCCTAGCTCAATGATATTAGTATTGGAGTTTAGACTTGACGGTACGGTATCGAAGTAGAGAGAGAAGTGGAGGTTCTGGTGACAGTATCCACACTTCTCGAGTCCTGTGAGCTACCTCGGTTGTCTACAATTACCGTGGTGTTCTACTCCGATTACCGAAAATTGCATTTTCTTAAAAATCCAATTCGAACGCAAATCTTGGCCGCTTTCACTTCAAAACTTGAGGAGATCACACTGCTGAGGGCAAGAGTCCAAGAATCAACACAAAAATGCCGCTAACACACGAAAATCTCGATAAACATCTCGATCTAGACATTCGCAAACTAACCTTAAGTTCTTGAACGTGTTTTTACGGAATAGGAAGGTGCGATTCATGAGAGCACCTTGTCTCGAACTGATGAAGGTTTAAGTTGAGGATTGTATATCTCCAACTTCGATTTTTGGTGTGATCTTCTCCTCTAACCTCAAAACCCTAACTTCTTTTCTTTCTTCTTTCTCCTCTCTTCTTTCTTTCTCTCTATGGTTATGACTTAACCCATCAATAAGAGTAGGGGAAAAATGACTATTTTGCCCCTATGTTGACATTGACCGTCTTTTTTAAGGCCGCATGCTACACAAATAGACAATTTATCTATAAAAAAAAGGTTTAGCAAGTTTTTTAAGTTTCTCATAAAGCTTAAGTGTATTAACAAAATTTTGAAATTCAATAGTATTTTTCAAACACTAAAAAAGATTTGATGTAGGTCGAGAATCTAATGTGAGAAATACGAAAAAAAATGTTACTCTCATTTATCATTTGGTTTTGATCAAAATCTCAAGGTTATATATAGATTTGATGGCTAAGACATCGACTATTACGACCTAGCTAGAGTTTCTTCGTTTTAATTCCCACTTTTTACAAATATTTTCAAAACTCAAACAAAATTCTCAAAAATTATTTATTTTCTACTACGACTAAGAATTCAAATGACTTCTAAACCGTACTCGGTATGAAGTAGGTCTCGATTCGAACATTCAAGTCAATCGGGGCAGCGATTACACTAACAAGTTTAGTTGTGAGATACAACCAAACCCTATCCACAATCGTTATCAAATCATTAAAAAATGTCGTGGGATTGAGGCTGATTGGGAATCCAAGCTCTTTCCCAGCTCCAATGCCACCAATTATGCATTGTTTATCCTACACAACAACGTGCATCATCCAATAAGAAAACGAATGGCTTCTTGAATATCAAAGGACAATACCTCTGTGTAAAGAAACATAGTTCTTCCTGGACTTCTGAATATCACTTTTGAAGGCATGATAGCAACATCAACTGTACACAGAACAAGAAATTTGTAACAACTTTCGACCCTTCTTGTGAGATCTCATATCGGTTAGATGTGAGAACGAAACATGTTTTATAAAGGTGTGATCCCTAGTAGAAGCATTTTAAAAACCTTGAAAGGAAGCCCAAAGAGGACAATGTTTGCTAGCAGTGGGCTTTGATTGTTACAAAGGGTATCAGAGCCCGACATCGGACGATGTACTAGTCAAGAGGCTGAGCCCCAAATGGGTGTGGACACGAGTTTGTGTGCCAACAAGGACACTGCCCCAAAGGAGGTGGATTGGGGAGTAGCACATCGATTGGAGAAGGGAACGAGTATCAGCAAGGACGCTGGATCTCGAAGAGGGGTAGACTGTGAGAACTCATATCGGTTGGGGAGGAGAATGAAGCATTATTAATAAGAGTGTAAAAACTTCTAACGAGTAAACGTATTTTAAAAACGAGAACCACAAACGAGAAATCCCAAAAATGACAATATTTGCTACATGCGTTCCATTGTTACATTTTTTTTTTCTCTTTCTAAGTTAGGTATTGCTATTATTACCTTTCTCAACGTTTCTAAACAGGTTTAAAACATATCTGAACCGTTGTGAATCAATTGAGACAAAGGCTGCACAGTCAATGGTTCCTACATCCAATTGATTCTGTGGACTTGATAGCATCATTAGACGAGTTGACTCCGGCGGTTGCTGGTTAGGAGTATCTACAACACAATTTAATGAGTAGAAGTTTCAAGAAATGCATCAAAATTGGTATTATGGGTCAAGAAATAGCAAGAAATGGGTATATACTTACAAGAATTGTAAAATTCAAAGATTGCACGAGGTGGGTTATGTTCATAAACAGCTAAGCACATTGAAGAATATTGTATGCCATGTCTGAGATGAGTGCAGAATTGCTTCATTGAAAACCCCCAATTGTAACGCTGTGCAACATTTGAAGGAGAGTAATAGTAGAAGAAGGCTGGTTTAATGCGTAGTGCTACGAATATATGATAGGATGTGTTGGAAATTGATATGGAGAATGATCTCTTGGTGCAATCAAAGTTGGCTGTTTCACCAATGTGAGTGAGTAGAGAAGTTGATCTCATAAAACGAAGGATGTGTTGAAGGCTGCAGCGCAACATGGTTAATTCTTTCTTGAGTTTTGAATAACATTGTTATGAATTGTGGGTTGTTTTATACTTGTGTGTGGGACTCGTTTAAGGCAACAAGATTGCTTAGCTATGCTTTTTTTTGATCTTATAATAGTTCGATTCATACGACAAAAGCTGAAACCCTGAAACCCAATTGTTGTAGCGGAAGCCACAACCAAAACGCTATGATACCAAGTGTTGTACCCAAAGCTCTTATACCACTTGAAGTGTCGTAAATGTCACAACTTTGGTTATGATACCCAATAGTTGTAGAATAAGCGAAGTAAGATCGATCGCACTCATGCACCCGCTAACAGAAATTAACAAAGGGACACAAAGATTTATGTGGTTTGGAGAGAAGAAATTCTCTTATTTCCACGAGTAGCAACCAGTCTCAATATGTATATCTCACACTCTGCAAAGTCTCTTAAACAAGTTTCTCTCAAATGTCACTCAACAAATACAAAATTACACTCAAACTCAATACTTTTTTTAACCATCCTAGACAACCCTTTATATAGGCATTGATGATTCATGTATAAAAATAATAATATGAACCAAAGTGTTATGAACTTAAACGCGAGTTAATAACCAAAATAAATGAGAATATTAATCAAAATGATTATAAACTAAATGAGAGTTATGACAATACATCTTCATGACAACTTACAAGAGTAACCATTGCCATTGTTATTAGAGTGTGAGATCCCACGTCGGTTGGAGAAGGAAATGAAGCATTCTTTATAAGGGTGTGAAAATATATCCCTAACAAAGGCGTTTTAGAACCTTGCGGCTGACAAAAATACATAATGGTCCAAAGCGGTCAATATATACTAGCGATGGACTTAGGCTGTTTTAAATGGTATCATAGTGAGTTCATCAATGTTCAAAGTTCATTTGAAATATAATATGTTTCGATAGTATTTCAATACCCATTCAGAATTCATTCGAAATATCTCATTCATATTAGTAATAGTATACAAACATAATATCAATGCATCGATAGTATATTAGTACTCATGATGTCAAATACATCATCAATAGTTTATCTATACTAATCTAAATATAATTTCAAGTATAAGATTAATGTATCAGTAGTATATCAACTTTTATTCGAAGTATGACGTTGGTGTATCAATAGTATAACATATTTAATCAAAATGCATTTTAGCGAGTATATCATTAGTGCATTATCTATAGCATACATGTATATCATTGTGAAGTGATGATACATTCACGACTGATCAAACTATTCACTTAATCATTTACTTTTTCAGTTGCTCAATCATAGAAATTTCATAGTTGAATGTGTTTTACTTAGAATAATTCTATGTTTGGTGACCTATAAATTTTCCTAAAATGTATATGAGTGAGGACAAAGCATGCAGGAAGAACTCGTGTTAGTTTGTGGAGATAGTTTTCACTCTAAGAAACGAGGAGTGGTTAACCTAACCACGTTGCAAGAGATGTGGTAGAATGTCACGGTCATTAGGTGCCAAATCCAGATTTTGAATCCTAATCTGAATTCTGGGCACGAGTCATTACAAATGGTATTATGGGAGTACCTCTCCTAGTAAGATGTGGTTCAAGGACAAAAGTTGGTGGACATGTGAAACCCACATAAAGGAGGGGTACATGAATAGACATGTGACACTCAAGTAAAGAAGGGGTACATAAATAAACAAAAACCACATTGAATGAGAACAATTTTGAAGATAAGATGACTAAAAAAAACTTTAAAAAATTGAAAGTCACTCCTACACCCTTTACTTGGATCAATTCTACGTTAAGTGACCTCCTAAGAATTTTTCTATGATGCACGACATACTAGAAGAACACGTGCTCGTTTGTGAGGATAGTCTTCACTCGTAAGAAGTAAGGAGTAGACACAGAATGTCGGAGATGGTCGAGACCATCAGATATCGAATTTAGATTCTGAATCCTGAACATGAGTTGTTGCAAAGCTATGTTCGGTCAGATTAACACGATGAACTACAACTATATGACTCAACCATTTATATAATCCAAGGTACCAACTCATTCCTCCCACCCCACAACGATGTCAATGAGGCTAGAGTGCACCGATGAGCTTTTGAGTGCAGCCTTCCTACTCATCGGACTAGCCGACAATGCCAACATGAAATGCACCTCCAAGATGCTCTCTTTCACAGTCTCCCACCCTCACCCTCGCCCACGCTTCATTGCAACCCTCCAAATAATGCCTGAATTCTTCACCCATTATTCTTTCCACACCATCCACCATTCCACCCTTCCCCTCCACTCATTTTACAATATCATTATGCACATGCAACTCCGCTCATATTTCTCCATGTCCCTCTTCATTGATACCCATCTCAATCGCCTAACCCTTCAATTTTCGCATCCAAGTTAGTATTCACTCAATCTTGCATTTCATAATCATCTTTGTTCCAAGATTCATTCTTGCAAGTTCTTGTAGGGAATGAGCATAAATTGATCATCCGTCGATTGTCGTTGGCACGTACGATACACGAGGACGAAGGCCAAATTGATCTGAGTATGTTTGTGTCGATTGATTCGGACATGTTCCGATGCATTGTAACCGAGCTTAACGGTTATGTAGTTCGTATTACGGTAAAAGATTCATGGGTCAAGTTTTGCTTGGGAAGTAAAGAGATTGCTTTGTACAAGGAGGTAATGTTTTTTTTTTTTTTTTTTTTTTTTTTTTTTTTTTTTTTTTTTTTTTTTTTTTTTT